TGGGAACATGGTGAATCGAAGAGGCGTCGAAGAGGCGTTGAAGAGGGAAAGGGAGCGGCCATTGACTGCACAGGAGATGAAGACCGCTCTGGATGACGTTCAAAAGATGAGTACGCATGAGGATGCCAGTGAGCAGGTGGAACACGTAAGAAGTATGTTGAAGCCGCTGATTGAGGACAGCTCCCAGGATGGATGGCCGGAGTTAAAGCCCTTGACTTTTGGGAAGGTTAACGAAGAGGCTGATGGGACCTATAATGTTCTTCGATTAGGACAATTGTGAGCACTGAAGTGAAAACTTGGTTTTTACAGCATTATATCAGACAATGATAGCAGTGTCTCTTGGATACTCGTCCAGGATCATATATCAAGATTTTGTGATCAGCGGTTCAAGCAAAGCAAATAGGTACATGCCACCGGTACCCATACAGCGGCGCGTTCAGTTGAAACCTGCCAGCTTGCCAACTCTTGGCCTTGCCAGCCCCTCGCATCATCTTGTAAATTCGCATCAGGAACCCGTTTTTCGTCCGGGCACAGTTTGCCGTTTCATATCGCGGTGCAGAGCTTCATCGTTCTTTCGCTTCGGAGATATCACGAAAATACTCTTCTTATGGGTACCAGTTGTTTCTCGAGAAGATAATGTCGATCCTGTTCCTGAACTTTCTGGGACGTCTGAGCTTGCGGCCGTGGCTTGGGATTCTCTCGGTTGGCCAAACTCCGCTTTTGTGGAGAGCTTCCTTTCACCCACAACTTCTTTCAAATTGTTCTTGAGAGTCGCCTTGCCAAAATACTTTGAGAACTCTGTTTGTAGCAGAGGATAGTGTTGGGAGAGATCAGAATATGCCTTGAACAACTCTTCTTGGCCTCGCGCTTGAGCTAAGGCCCCCATTAAGACGCTAGGAAGCTGTAGCGGCATCGGGTTCAACTTGACTGGAGCTTTCCAGCTGCCTAGGATTTTGTGATCTAGCTGTTGAAAGAAGAGCAAGTGCTTCTCCGGAGTGCATAGCCAATCATGACATACGGCTTCGAGACCCGAAATTCTGGCCTTTGGAGAAATTTGAAGGCATTGCCATATAAATGTCTTGCTGTTCTTGGACAGCTTCAGGCATGGCTGGAAAATGTCCTGTTTCAAAGTCCTGTCCAATACAGTCTGAGTGTACCGGTTGAACTTGGGAATTATGTTCTCTATGCCCAAGCCCGCTGTCAGCATTATAATAGCAACTATACCCAACGACCAAATGTCAATGGCTGGGGTTTGTGCAGACTGGCTGTCATACAGCTCCCTGTGTTCGATAGTTAGATATATTGGCAAGCAGCCAGGAGTGCGAAACTTCTCACGGTGCTTGATAGTTGGCTGTTCCAACTAGTGTCTTCATTCTGCTTCTGCGTGGCACCGCGCTGGTGGCGAAGTCTGATAGCATAACTCGATGGTACGCAATTTTTGGCGAGTATGCTAACAGAATATTTTCCGGTTTCAGATCACGATGAATGATGCCTTTGGTGTGGAGGTAATTCAGTCCCCTTATGACTTGTCTAATTATAATCCTGGTGTCAAATTCTTTCACCCCATTGTGTCTGTTAATGAAAGACATCAAGTCACCCCCCGAAGCTAGCTCCGTGAAAATGAAGCTGCAATTGTTAGCGCGGGCCGGGTTGTGGCAACAGAAAATACTTGCAGGGAATGGGGAGAAGAGATAGATTCGATATATGGCAGGATATTCGGCTAACGCCATTTAGCAGTCAGTTTTCTAGACGGTAGCATGGGCACCTACATGTCGTAGTTGGCGAAGGATATCGGCTTCTTGTAATTTTCTGGTTGAACCATGACGGTCAAATCGATTTTGAAGCTCGTCAAGGTTCACCACCTTGCATACAATCTGTCTTTTTGATATAACATCTTGCGCCAAGTAAACATTAGCATCTGTACCTTGACCAATGCAACGCTCTGATATTAAATATTTATCGGAAAAAAACTGGCAAAACAGTCAGCGCTTGAAATTCGTGTAGTCAGTATACTTACCCTAGACTCTGCCAGCTGGATTTTATTCATTTTAACTCGTGGAGGGCCATTATCTTGCCGAAACATGAATTTCCAATAAGGCAGGATCTCGACGATATCGCCATCTTCAAGGAGGTATCCAGAGGAGATGTCGCGCCCTTTGCCAATCAAGATTCCGTTAACGAACGTGCCATTGAATGATTTGCGATCCCGGACGTAGACGAGATTGACGCCAGGCTCATACACCACAGTATAGATTTCGCAATGATTTCTGGAAATCAGACTCTCATGATCGCCGTGTATGGAAAAATTGCTGCAAATGAGCACAAAGCCTGTTCTGGTATTGAGGCGTTGACGTACTTTGACCTAGGATCCCTTCCAATCTTGAAAATGTCGTCTTCCCAGATGGATATCAAATCTCGTAAGGAATTAGCCGAACTGCACAAGGCGCGGATCGACAGGAAGAGCTGGACATAGTGGCACCTTTCTGGACCTGGTCGCCTTGAACGAAAGTATACTCGAGACTCGCGACAGGAAATTGGGATGAGGGATCGCTGGCACGTGGTGTAGGTGATGAGACTCTCATGATGCTTTTGTGCGCGACTGAAAATGCGTATCTTGATGTCTTCTTAGGAGTTCCTAACCACGTTTAAATCTACTCATGAAATCAAAACACCGTCTCTTTCCTTCCGACCTACCATCCTCGTCCTTAGGCACCCGTAGCCTCCGAAGTTGTCATGGCAATTACACCAAAGTTGTTCCTTCCAGTATAGTTCAGTTGACGTACAGTACAGAGAGAATTAACCACACTACGCACTGTGTATAAGACCAGGTCTGGACCTGAACTTGACGTACTTGACACACGTGACCTGTGGGGGTTTCTTGCCCTACATAGAACTTTCCTAAAAGCTTTGGAAATTCCCCCGCCCTTCTTCTGTTGCAACTCATCCAAACACGATTCTCATCCACGAACAAGTAAGTTTCCCTCAATGGTGCATCTCAGGGACATGTATGGGCATTTCCAATGCTCATGCATGAAGCATTAACTGCCACCCCCAATCTTCTGAGTGCCGCCATCGACTGGTTTCACCACCATTGCTAACTACGTTCTAGTCCATCGTTCAAGATGAGAGCTAAATGGAGGAAGAAGCGCGTTCGTCGCCTTAAGCGAAAGAGAAGAAAGATGAGAGCGCGATCGTGAGTGACGCCAGCTAATTTTCCGAGTCGAAATCAATTGGACCATTTTCTCTAACAACCCACACAGCAAGTAAACGCCTCGCACCTCTACCTGACTTGACGCATCTCTCATGAAGTAACGAATCCCTTGCGCGTGTGGGACATGTACAAACGAAGCTGGAGATGGGCTTGGTATCAGTAATGACGATGGGGTTTTGCCTTTTGGGATTACGTCAACGGCGGCTGGTTCCACCAACCCGAGCTACGATGTTTTGACGGGCGTGATGAGAGATGGGTGAATGGACAAGGAAACGGTCGGGTACAAGGACGGCGTTCAGGGGTCGCCAAAGAGAAGCAAGCTGTCATAAAAAGACACCTGCAGGAACACGTTTGGCACAATGCTTTGACAAATGAAACACAGAATTTGCTTCTTGAACCGTAACATTCGTGGTCTCGTGATGTGTGCTGATATTCAAGTGCGACAGTGTCTTTATGGAGAATATGGTAATGGCAACAATTTTACACATTACTTGCCATTTGCAATACTATGTATGATATGATGTAAAGCTCTTCCAAGCCGGATGTGACAAACAAAGCTTCTGCACAAGCTCTCGGACGTCCTTTACTACAAGGCACTTGAGCAATATGCAATAAACTACTCATTAGTGTACATGGCGATATTCTCCGGACACCCGTCGCCATGTGCACCGATGGGTAGAGCTTATTGCGTAACGCTCAAAGTGCCTTGTAGTAAAGGACGTCCGAGAGCTTGTGCAGAAAGAGCTCCTTGTACTCCGGATGGCTGGTTTTCGCTCAATTGAGCTCCTGTCATTGTGATTGTGCTCCAATCTCGCCTAGCTGAGCTCCAGGGCAGCTATGGAGCGAAATTGCCTTTTTTTAGTGGAGATAGAAGCTGCGCCAGCTGCCAACCAGTTCGAAATTTCATAAGTGGGTTATGCTGTTGAGTTTACAACAGCAATTTGTGGAAATGACGATATTTGAGAGGCTTTTTAGGGCCTCAATTGATAGCCTGTATTTTCGTGATTGATGAAGGATCTGAGTTGTGTGATGAAAAACTCTGCAAATTTGACCCCTTTTATGGCCGGCCGGGGGCCCCTGCAAGCCCTTGGGGGCTGAGGATAACCCTCAAATTTATCACTTTTTGACTGAACATGTGCACAAATTTGTATTGGTGGCTCGGTGAACTACGTGAACTACAGTCTACGGAGTGCCAATCATGTTTTCTCATAGTTCTCCTAACATCCACATAGCTTCAATCAAAATTATTGGCTATATGGAGTAAATAACTACGTAGTCTACTCCGTAATACATTGTCGCTTTTGGTATGAATAAACTATCCTTTGCTTTTATTGTCGTCGCCTTGCGGCTTCAATTTCACACGGGGCATTATTAAAGCATTGCTCTTCAAGAAAAAAAAAGTAATACGCTGGATGCGTCGTAACATAAAATTGTTTTCTAAAAGCCTACGCAGCCTTTATTAATGGAAGTAATACTCAGGGTCGGCATCGACTTATGTTAGTGCAAAAACTTGTCCTTCAGCAGACTATTTTGCTGTATCAGACGTCATCAATTGAATCAATTCTAAAGCTCACAAGTCCTTGGCGATGAAGTACATACAGTAGTACTAGGCACTACTAGTACAAATCCACTGGTAGTGTTGGTGGGGCCTGAAGTCTCACCGCCCCCGGCTAATTGGCGGATTATTGTTTTGTGCCGCTCTTCAGATGTTGGCAGACCAAAAATTTTTGGAGATGTTTTAGGGCATTCGAGAAGACCAGCCCAACCTTGGCCCAGATCACCATCCACAATGGCAGATATCAGCAGCAAGAAGCGGAAGAGAGGTGGTGAATCTTCTGCAAAACCTAAAAAGAAGGTTGTGCTGGACGTGCCAGCATCTACCGCTTCGGTCTCATCAGTCCTTCGACCCAAACACTGCCCACCAGTTATTGGTAAGGAATTGACGTGTTGGCTGTATAGTAAATTCCTACTAACTTGCAGCTCTGTAGCTACGACTCCCGGTGTCGAAATTTCTGAGAATGTTGCGTTTTACCCATATCAACCTCGAGAGGGCTCACGATCAAAGTCGACCAAATCGAAACATGCGGGCGACAAGGAATTGCTGCTGCACTCAACCTCTCACCGAAGCCTAGATTATACTGCAAGAGAGGAAGGCAAAAGAGGGTTGAATCAGCTAGTTAATCACTATGTTGGCATTTATGACCCTAAAACCGGAAATCTCGAGGTAGTGGAGGCCAAGAAGATGGTTGTCCGAGGCATGGTTCGCGCCAAGCAAGCGCCGGCCTCTTCTATGGGAGAGGATCTGGCCAAACGGGTAAGATCAATTTCTTTGCATGAGGTCCATTTCTCAATGGGAAGTCAACGATGCTAACAGCACTTGTAGAATATGATGGAGCGCAAAACGGACCTGGGACAAACATTTGGTACCAAGAAAGCCAAGAAGGTTATCCGCGAAACTGTACTCAACGCCATTGCTCCACAGAAGAAACCTGGCGACTCTCCCACGAAGATTGATAATGCTGGCAAAGCAATTCTGAGCTCAGTCGGCGAGGTCACGACAAATATGGCAACAAGAGAGGAGTTACAGGCTGCCGTCGACGAGGCCAAGCCAGTGCCCCGGGCCAACTTGGATGCGCTGGATATCCAGGATGTATACGATCCAAACGTCATCGTTGGCGCAGATATCTTGAATCTCGTGCCCATCAGAGAATGGCAAGAAAAGGTTCGACACAACGAAGGCGTCCAAACAATATCTCGGTTCGTAGCAGCCCGAGTCAATGCCGTTGCTTCCAACGACGCCGCCATCACCCGTCTGCGTGTGCTTCGATACTTGAGCTTTGTCCTCTTGTTCTACCTGAAAACCACACCTGGAAAACAGCGGGGCACAAGACAGGTGCCCCCGCGCGAAAAGTTGCGTGAGCTGCTATCGCCGGCTCCCGAGGCTGTCGTCGAAAGCATCCGTCGAAAATTCTCCGATGCGGGCGTTGTGAGAAAGTTCCATATCGATCTCCTCATGGCGTACTGCTGTGTCCTTGCATGCATCGTCGACAACTTCGAAGTCGACACGCAGAATCTCAGAGATGATTTGAGACTGGACCAGAAGACGATGAACCAGTACTTTCACGAGATTGGCGGCCGTGTCAGGCCTGTTAGCAGAAAGGCTGAGGGCGGACGGGCCATATACGTGGCCAGACTAACATTGCCTTTAGACTTTCCCAAGCAGAGGCAGATTCCTCAGCGTCGCAAGTAACGGGGTGAAAGTTGTTATGATTCAACACCAAAAATTGTATGTAGATATGCATTGAACGGCGTTTGGGATGCCCTATCAAGGAAAAATTTCATTGTATCGGTGATACTGCTGGCGCAATGTATCTACATGGCTAGTACAAAAGTATAGTGCCTTGCTTTCGCAAACAAGTCGTCTGACACGAATGTTCCAAAATTTGGTACTGTCAGCTGTAATAAGTGATGGCGACCGTCTAAGCTCCATGTCCATCCAAACTCACATGCATGGACAGTCATCAGACCCAACCCACGAGCACTGCTACACTCACATAATTCAACAAAGCAGCTACCGAGACCCCTACAACAATCTAAGTAGTAATGCAGTAATGCACCCTTTCCCCCTTTCCGAATCCGTACACCCCATCCAATCGGTTGATGCCAAAACCCCTCCATAGCCGGACCATTGACTCCCCGCATCGCCAACGGACCGAGGCATCTTACTGCTAGTACTCCGTAATCCCATCCAGGTGGGGCATTTCAACCCCAACCCCGGATCGCCCGCAGGACTTGGGAGCAAACCTGCCAAAACTCCGTCCAGGGTGCATCAAAACCAGCGCCGTTTCCTTGTCGTTATTGCTTTCCTGCTTGTTATGTTGTATTACCATCATTATCATCATAGATATTGTCCTCAATTGGCTGCGTCATTATCGATAGACTGCTCAACGCCCATTTGGCCATTGACTTCTGACTCTGCTGATAGCTTGATTGCTTTAATACGCCGTGAGGATTAACATAGAATAGAAGAAAGGCTAAAAAACAAAACACCAGAGCAAAAAAGATGGCTACCGAATCCGTCATCAGCGTCGAGTACCGCGGCCGCGTCGCCGTCATTACCATCGACAATGCGAGCAAGTTGGGTGCCTTGTCGCAACCGCAGTACTACGAGCTCGCGACCAAGATGAACGAGGTAGCGGGCCACGATGAAGTGTTTGTGACCGTGTTAACCGGCACAGGACGCTTCTTTTCCGCGTAAGTCCCCCCCCCCGGCCACTACCACCCTGGAGACGTTGCAACAGCAGGACATGCGTCCCGTCCCGCGTCAAACACCAAGCAAAAAAAGACCACCATCACCAGACGACCAAAATGACTAGACTAACACGCGCAACAGAGGCGCGGACGTGTCCATCTCCCGCGAGGCCCCGGCGGTCCCCTCGGACGCCCACAAGCTCTGGCTCCAGACATTTGTCGCCTTCAACCTCAACATCGCGTACACGTTTGCCAACCACCCCAAGGTGCTGGTGGTCGGGCTCAACGGCCCCGTGGTCGGGCTGTCGGCGGCCCTGGTCGGCTGGGCCGACTTTGTGTACTGCACGCCGCACGCGTTCCTGCTCACGCCCTTCTCGTCGCTGGGCCTCGTCGCCGAGGGCGGTGCCTCGCGCGCCCTCGCGTCCCGGCTGGGCCCTGCGCGCGCCAACGAGGCCCTCATCATGAGCAAGCGCATCCCCGCCGACCAGCTGAAGCAGTGCGGCTTCGTGAATGAGATTTTCGACTTTGGCAAGGCCGACGACGCCAAGTTCCGCGCCAGGGTGCTGGAGGAGGTGGACGAGCGGCTGGGCGAGCATTTGAACGGCGAGAGCTTGGTCGGCATCAAGAAGCTGCTGAGGAGGCCCGAGCTGGACGTGCATAATTCGCAGAATGTGCACGAGGTTTTTGCCGGTTTGGATCGCTTTGTGAGGGGCATTCCGCAGGAGGAGTTTCGCAAGCTAGCGAGTGGCGAGAAGAGGCACAAGCTCTAGGCTGGCCTAAAATTTGCCGTGATATTGTTCGCAACGGCATCATGTTATGGAACTTGGGGAATGCGTAAATTTGTAATGATCCATTTCGAGGACCAGTCTATGCCAAGAGCCCAAACAACAAGTTGACGCGTCCCCAAAAGTCTTGCGCCGTCTTATGAATCTTCTTCCTCTCCGCTTCGTCGAGTCCACTCTTGTTATATACCTCCCCATCCAGCCTTTCAAACTCTTGTGCCCCTTCACCCTTGGCTATACAGCATCGCAGAAGCGCAATATCAAACAGCCATTGCGTACAAATGTCCACGGTGTCCGCCTCAGTCCCCTTGGACTTTTCTGCCTCATTCAAGTCGGTCCTCGCCTCATCGCCATTGTCATCCTTCTCACTCAGTCCACTCTCTGTTGATAATCCACTAAGCTCCTTGTGCCACGCCTCACAAAGCTTTATCCCCAGCAAACTCTTCATTGCCGCCATCGCCACAGGAGTCCACAGATCAACTCCCAAATCCGTCATTGACAGCGACAAGTCTCTCAGCAACCGGAAAACAGCTGGCGAAGGCTGATTTGGCAGTGCTGGCTCTCCTTCCCAAAGCGGTTTCACGGACACGCTCTTATCCAACAGACCAGAGGAGACAAACTCTTCCGTCGCGGCCTTGGAAGCCATGACGGCAATCTGGTTGTGAAGGCTGGGAACCATAGATAGTCCAAAGTCCTTGACAGCCGGGCGATCTGGGAGCTGTGTGCGGATGTCACGTACCACGCGGATGAGGTAGATGGCTATGGCGCCGCTAGATGTGTGTTCAGAGTACTGTTTCCACAAGCCTTTGAGCTGGTCCTCGAGGTCTTGAAATGACTTGTCTAGGGTTCTGTCCAGTTTCTCTTGCAACTTTTTGGGATCCTCCTTACTGAGGGCCCTCTGTCTCGCTTCAATGGTCTCTTCGTCCTCGATCTCGTCGTAATCGTTGTCCCAGCGCTGTCTTCGCAGCTGCTCCACGACGGTCTTTACGTCGTCAATAATATGGAACCATGAACTGTAGCTGTGGGTTGCCCTTGAAACTGCGTCGTTACGGCCGTATAGCCGGGAGACAACCTCCTGAATAAATGGCGCGGCTCCATGTGACAAGGCGACATCGTAGCCCTCATCATCCCAAAGGCTCATATGCGTATCTGAAATGCTGCTTTGCCATCCTTCAAGGGTGGCCTTGACTTCAGATCCAACGAGCCGCAGCTTGGTGGCTTTGATTTCGACGACGGCTAGCAGCCGGGCATTGATGGCCTCGCGCAACTCGTCTTGCAAGTCTTGCGGGTCGAAACCCTTGGCCCGGCCGCCGTCTCTAATCCAAAGCTGCAGTACCTGGGTCCGCAGGTCAGTAATTGACTTAAAGTCCACCATGTGATCGAGCGTCTTCTGCAGTCCAGCAATGACGATCTGCCCGCCCTTTTCGGCAAACGCGCCCAGCATTTCTCTTGCCTGCTTGCCATCAAGGTCGTCATGTTTGATGAATGGCGTGAAATCTTGAATATCATCGCTACACCAGCGTTCATAAATGTCCAATCGCAAGCCTTCAAGCTTTTTGAGAGAAGCGTCTGCCAACAGGGTATGATTCTTCAGTGCGGACAGGGCTTGTGACAGCTTGACTGGAACCAAGGCCTGCACATCAAGAAGAGTCTTGGTGTATAGCCTCAAGCTACGAACCACATCCTCCGTAGTAGTCGTGCGCTCACTCCCCTCCAAGTCCAACGCAGTCTCCATAGCCCGCTGTCTCACTCGAATGAAGAGCCAGATAGCATGTTTGGCCCCAGAGCTATTGGCAAGACTATGAGCGCACAATACCTTGATCACATCCTCCGTGTCTGTCGCATCACCCGCATTCTCAAGTAATCGCTCGATGCTCCGTTGAATTCGGCGACGTAGCGACTCCAACGTCTTACCAGCAGCGTCAACCATGTGCTGGGCGTGCTCCGACGACACATCCTCCTTCAAGCTCTTGATCAACAATCGTCCGATTACAAAGACCTTTGTGGCCAGGACCAATCTATCGCCCTTCCTCATGTGCTCATCTACTCCCGCACCGCCTTTTAGTATCCTGGCTATCATGAGCTCGCATGAATCAAGTAGCTTTAGCGTCGCCGTCTCGATCGCTTTCGGATCTCTATCCCTGGTAACAAATTTCCCAAGCCCAGTCGCCTTGGAAGAAATGACTGTTCGTCCGCACCGGGCCCCCATGTTGCCTAGAAGGTCCTGCACTCGACTATTATCGCCACGCATTTGAACGATTGTGTCGGCCGTGCCTAAAAGTTCGCGGTACGAACCGCCGACCTGCGTCCGTAGACGGGCCGCCTTCTCCTCAATCTGGACATGGAGTGATTTGTGAATGGATCGAATCTGCGGGAGGGTATGACTTCCGGAAAAGATGTCGGCACAAGAGGTGAGGGTCGCTGGGTCGGGGACGGAGGCCATTGCGACGATTGGCGCCTTGAAGGCAGAAAAGTATGGACGACTACTATATTGGAGGGGCCATCAGCGCACCATCAAAGCTTCGCGCAACCAACACAGCGCACGATGCGCGCAGTTTTCAAGGTACCGTGTAGATAGTAGAAGTTGAGGAGCAGAGCCAGGACAGCTTGTTCAAAGTAATCTCGCGGTTTCTCGGCTGGCCTAGGTGGGGCAACCCGCTGAACGCATCCCACCAATTGCTTCGGCCATGCACATAATAATGCGACAGCACAGTCTAGAACAAGACACGGACATTGGATGTAACCACATTCCTTGATCATGGTATGATGCACCCCATGCATACGATTTGATTGACATCAATATTCTACAATTTGATGCTCTTAACGACACCGACATTAATACCAGATGTTTCTCCTTGGTAGCCGCCCTTGGGCTCACCACCCTTCCAAACAGGCTTCATGCTCTTCAACTTCTTCTGCTTGGCCTCGTACTGCTTTCTCCTCTTCACTCTTGGGTTTCGGACATCCTTATTTCTCTTGGGTGCCAAGCCCTTGTTTTTCTCAATGGCATATGTGATCTTCCTCTTGCCATCCTCTCCCACCTCTTCATTCTCCACCACTCTATCTGCCTTGCTTGCTGCAGCATAGGCAGCATAACGAGCGGCCTTCTCTTCTCGCTTGTTCTTTGACTTATTGGCCACCATGTCATAGTATTCGTCCTCGTCATTTCGAAGAGCGTTGGCAGCAGTATTGTCGTCGTCATCGCTGTCATCGCCAA